ATAAAGGATGATGATGGAATAGACCCTTCCAGACAAGTGCATGCATGCTCAATTGCTCAGTCATGTCCAACTCTTTGCTACCCCATAGACTGTAGCCCACCAGACTCCTCTGTCTATGGGATTTCTCCAGGCAAGAATACTGGAGTGGGTTGCCATGCTCTTCTCCAAGGGATCTTCCCGACCCAGGGATTGAACCTGCATCTCCTGCATCACAGGCGAATTCTTTCCGCTGAGCCATAAGTATGATGTCTTAAACTTTCAAATTTACTTACTTCTTTTTGAAAACATCCATAGAACAGTCTCATTGACAGTGGAGTAAAATGAAAGAAAAAGGTTTTTTACTATTGTTATTTTATGTTGAAATGTAGTTGGTTTACAATATTTTGTTAGTTTCATTCATTATTATTTGACCTTGAATAGTGATGAATGCTGAAAAGTGAATAAATAAAACACTAAATCATTAACAATAAATAATTCCAGTTAGGTCCCAGGCCTGAAGTCTGAATTTTCTCAGCTCAAAAGAACTGACATATACTCTAGAAACAAACCTGATTTTCTTGCATGTTTATAAGTGTTTATGTCAGTGTGAAGCTATGTGTTTTCTTCTTCACTTCCTTCAAAAACAGAAGTATTTTCATTTAGATTTCATTTTCCATTTCCTTCCATGCTTTGGAATCTTATTACGATGCTGGTGCAAATCTGCAAAGCCACAATCAGGTGTTGCCAGCAGCTTCTGCATAAGTTAGTTTTTACTTGGTGTGCGTTTGAAAAAAACTTTTTTAAAATGGCTCCATTGATAAACATCTGAATTGAACTTTCACAGTTCTGTGGAAAATCAAGCAGAACACACGTTTGGTGGTCATATCACAAGGTTTTCACCCTCCCCCAAGGATTTGTGAGGATGGATGTGTTCATGGTCAAGTCACTGTCCTGCTTGTCTGCTCAAATCAGATGATTTGGGGTCATAATTATATAGAAAAATGAGATTTTATTATATTTCATAGAAGGAAAAATAATTGTAATACTTTTTGCCCTACCCTTTGCTATGGTTTTTAAATCCTCTCCCCAAACTTACAGATTATTTCAGATGCAACAGACAACTTAAAAAAATAATGGAATGGGAGAGAAGGGGAAAGATCCTGAAACATAATGTTTGAACAACAATCCCATACCTAAGTGCAACTAAAAAATGAGGACAATATCTCTCTACGGTGGATAAAAAATAAATGAAACCTGTGAGTGTAAAATAAGAGCAGTTTGAGAAGATGTCACAGATGATTAACCTCGGAAATGCTAATATGTTAGAGAGAAAATGATAAGGAAAGTAGATTGCATTTCTCCATGCTGAACCAAAAAGATAACAGTACATCATTAGCCAAAAATTTTGCTTGTGTTGCCATATATGAAAATCTATATAGATTTTGCCCTATTTTTAAAAATGCATGTAGAAAGGGTACAATTTCAACCCCTCAAAACAGCACCAGTTGCAGATATTTTATTTAACTTTAACCTTTTATCCAGACCCATAACTCATTGATTAAGAATTCATCTCTATATTTCAGCTCTTGGTTTAAGGCCCCTCATACCGCATATGTCAATCCAGGACTATCTGGAGCATTAACTTAAAATGTCAAAAGTGTAATTTTTCTTTACAGCAGAAGTAGAATTATAAAAATTAGATCTTTCAATTACAGATGACATTTACCACTCTAATCAAGGTTAGCCTTAACATGTGGGTGGGGTCAGAGGTTGAATGAGAATGCTTCTCTATACCAAAATAACTCTACCACAGGTCTGCCAAGGAGATTTTGCTTCTACTTTTAGTAAATACTCCTATTATCTTGGGCTTCCCAGAGGGCACTAGTGGTAAAGAACCTGCCTGCCAATGCAGGAGACTTAAGAGATGCAGCTTCCATCCCTGGATTGGGAAGATGCTCTAGAGGAGGCCATGGCAACCTACCCCAGTATTCTTTCCTGGAGAATCCCATGGACAGAGGAGCCTGGTGGGCTACAATCCATGGGGTCACAAAGAGTCGTACACAACTGAAGCTACTTAGCTTTCACAGGCACCGATTATCTTGGTTCTGAGGCATGACAACCATAACCATAAATGTATTTTATCGTGGATTTCCTATGAACCAAATACTGCGTTCAGCTCTTAATGACTGACATAAAGGAGTCCTTAAGTATGGACACTAAAGCCCCGTATATTTGAAGCCTAGACCTTGGGAAAATTAGCTAACCTAACTGAACTTCTGTTGTCTCAAGTGTAAAATGGGTATCAGTTCAGTTCAGTTGCTCAGTCGTGACACTTTGTGACCCCATGGACTGCAGCATGCCAGGCTTCCCTGTCCATCACCAACTCCTGGAGCTACTTAAACTCATGTCCATCAAGTCAGTGATACCATCCAACCACCTCATCCTCTGTCATCCCCTTCTCCTCCCGCCTTCAATCTTTCCCAACAAATTTCAGGGTCTTTTCTAGTGAGTCAGTTCTTCACATCAGGTAGCCAAAGTATTGGAGTTTCAGCTTTAGCATCAGGCCTTCCAATGAATATTCAGGACTGATTTCCTTTACAACGGGTTGGTTGATCTCCTTGCAGTCCAAGGGACTCTCAAGAGTCTTCTCCAACACCACAGTTCAAAATCATCAATTCTTCGGCGCTCAGCTTTCTTTGTGGTCCAACTCTCACATCCATACATGACTACTGGAAAAACCATAGCCTTGACTAGACAGACCTTTGTTGGCAAAGTAATGTCTCTGCTTTGTAATGTGCTATCTAGGTTGGTCATAGCTTGCCTTCCAAGGAGCAAACATCTCCCAATTTCATGGCTGCAGTCACCATCTTCAGTGATTTTGGAGCCCCCAAAAAAAGTCTCTCACTGTTTCCATTTTTTTCCCATCTATTTGCCATGAAGAGATGGGACCAGATGCCATCATCTTAGTTTTCTGAATGTTGAGTTTTAAGCCAAATTTTTCACTCTCCTCTTTCACTTTCATCAAAAGGCTCTTTAGTTCTTCTTCTCTTTCTGTCATAGGGTGGTGTCATCTGCATATCTGAGGTTACACATATTTCTCCCAGCAATCTTGATTCCAGCTTGTGCCTCATTCAGCCCAGTATTTCTCATGATGTACTTTGTATATAAGTTAAATAAGCAGGGTGACAATATGCAGCCTTCACATACTCCTTTCCCAATTTGGAACCAGTCTGTTGTTTGGTATAATAATATCTAAATCATAAAGTGGCTGTGAAAATTATGAGAAAGATGAGAATAGAAATATTCAGCAATTTTCCTAAGATCACACACAGCTAAGTAGAAGAAACAAATTTCAATCTAGTTCTTGTAATTCCAAATTCCCGTAACTTTCCACAATATCACACCACCTCTAAGGATGCCCAGGATGACATGCAGATAGAAGGCACCAGAGAAGAGCAAGACACAAATGCAGGCAGTGCTTCTATTCTTGGAAGAAGACATAGACCTTTAAGGGTCCTGGGATAACCTAAAGAAGATGGATTCTGTTTGACTCTCAGAATTAAAGGAAATTATATTGGTGACACATTCAGCTGGACATCACAGAAACTGACAAAGAGTTTCTAATCAACAGTGCTCGACATACCATAGAACTTAAAAAAAGATAAAAAGGAAGGAAAGAAAACCAAAAAACAAGACAGTGAAAAAACTGAGTCAGTTAATGAACTCTTAAGAACCATATGAGGCTTCCCTGGTGGCTCAGTGGTAAAGAATCCACCTGCCAGTGCAAAAGATATGGGTTCAATCCCTGGGTCAGGAAGACTCCCCTGAAGAAGGAAATGGCAACCTGCTCCAGCATTCTTGCCTGAAAAATCTCATGGAAAGGAGGAACCTGGTGGATTACCATCCATAGGATCACAAAGAGCTGGACACGACCGAGTGACTAAACAACAAAGAACTGTATACTGTATAAGAAAAGCTCTTTCACCCAGCTAATACATTTTACAGTCCACTCCCAGCTTCAGCCTCCTTCAAACACCTCAAATACTTACATTTTATAACAGAAGATGAAGGTTCAGTTCAGGAAAGTTGGGATAAGTGATGTTGCCCCTTGGTTATAAGCTCTATCAGGGCAGGAAGACCAGCAGTTTTGGTGACCACTTTGTAACACTAGCTGGCACATGCTGAGTTAACTCAATAAGTCTTTCTTGAATTGAATTCAGTCCAATTGCTACTATGACCTTCATCCATAATGCAAAGATATATGACCCTCCTGTTTTCTCTTGAGTTCTTAATTAACATCTAGCAATATTCCCTTTGACATGCATTTGGATCCCACCCACATTAAGCATCTGCAAGGCAAAGTCCCAAAGTCACACAGATCAGACACATCAGCTCAAGAAAAATGGAAACAGTTGCATCAAAAGGAATGTGCCTTATTTTAAATGATTAAATATATAAGATAATTTAATATATATGATAATTCATGTTGATAGAGGAATTCAACATTACGTGATACTGACCTGGATTTAATGTAAAACATTTTTTTTTCTTCATGGAACCCAGAAAGTCTCATGGTGGTTTTCTTTGTGAGATATTACAGTTGTCTAAAGAACATGTGGTCCAAATGAGCAAGTGGGAGATACAATGTTGTAAGACGGAGTCTCAAAGCCACATGTCATCACTGAATCTTTGGTGTCGCCCTGCAGGCTACCTCTCACAGCTTTTCTCCATAAAGCCAAGCTTTTGAAGCTGAAATAACATTGTTCATAAGACTATATAAGTACTACTTTTCTGTAAATCTATTTGGAAATGTATGTCAAAAACTTAAAGTACGTCCATCCTTTGACTGAATATTTCCTCTTCTCAGAATCTATCCTAAAGAAATAATCAAAAATGCAAAGAAAAGTTTGTATTAAAAGAAAAAAAAAAGTTTGTCTTTTATAAAGAAAAGACCCAGAATAACAAAATGGTCAATTAAATTCAGGTGCATTCATTGACACTAAGACTCGCCTTTCTCCATTTTAACATCTTTGAAATTGGAATATGTTTTATAATAGCTGGCATCTTATTATCCCCATCATCCATGCAGTAGCCACGAAGTAGCTGTCATTGGCAGGCAAGCATTAACTTGGTCACAGACGTTCATCTTGTCATTACTTCTGTTGAATGATGGACATTGTTGGTACTACACATGCTGCTTTCACTGCCATTTAAAAGTAACACAGTGATTTAGTATTGAGATGAAAAGTTATTGTGTAGCCATGTAAACAGAACTGCAGCAGGTAAATTTTATATTGGTGAAGCAAATATTCATCACAGGAGAAATGATCACTATTCCATATTTTGTTCCAAAGAAAAAAAATCATGTGTTTTATGGAACCTAAATAGATGAAATGGTGCTACATTTTGTTTTCTGAGGAATATGCAAAAGAAGCATCTCCTACATGCTAAGTAGTGCAACTCAGGCAAAAGAATTGCCAAGTGCTTAGAAGGGATGAAAGAAATGTCAAAGCATCAAAAGGCTAGTGTAAGTAACAAACGTGTTTCAAGAGATCTTGAAGGCTTTGTGTCATAGCTTAATTGAAAACATCTTTTTCCTTTCATAGTAGTGTGTAGAATAATGTGTTCTACAGTCAATAGCATCTTAAAATCATTTAAAATAAAGACTTCCTAGAGACAAAAAGAAAAACTCTGGGCTTAAATAGAAATATAAAAGAAGAATAAAAAATTGCAAACTCACAACTATGTAAGAAAACTTTTCAATAGTGTGGAAAAGTGAAAGCAAATTATGTTAAAATGTGTAAAAATCTGTAAAGTGAGACTATGATTAATCTTTTCTTCTTCCTTTTTATGTTTCCAAGTTGTTTTTTTAACTTTCCATGATCATTTTTTGTGTAATAGGGTATATTTTGTTTCTAATAATAAAAGATAAAATTAGAGATGCTTTCTTTTTTATTAAAATATGATTTACAGTGTTGTGCTAATTACTGCTGTATTGCAAAGCAATTCAGTTATACATATATGTACATTCTTATTTTAACAAAAGAGTGTGTTTTTTAATTAGTTCAAAATAATATTTAGAATATTAAAAACAAGGGTGGAAATTTACCCTCCATGCACTCATCACTTCCTTTATAACTGTTATTGTTATGTGTCTAGGCCTTTTTGAATCTGCTCATATTTTATATCCTTATTCTTCTGCAAGGATAAGTCTATAGATTCTGTGAGATACAGTCAATAGATTCACAGGCTTCCACTTGTGTCTCCTGCCGGGTGTTCTTAAATCCGACCCATGCATGTCAACCCAATCTATACTCTTCACACTTTCATTATGCTCAATCAAACTTTCTTGGCCTTTGCTATCCCAACCACAAAAGCTAACTTACTACACTTTTTCTAACTATTAAAGCTCTCTCTGATAAAGGACCTTTCCAACTCATCTTTCTTAGTGCTTGTAATTATTCCGAGTTCACTACCCAAGGCTATTCTGAGATCAGGTGAGTTTACTTCCAAGTTATTTATCCAGTTGTGGTATCTTTCAATTTCTTTTCTGTATGAAAGAAAACTAAGAGGAACAAAAGAGGAAATACATCTTTTCCCAGATATATTATTGATCAAAGGGCCTTCTAGCTGGTATAGTTTGCAGCCATGGGCTTTTGGATGGTAACCTTAATGTCATTCACTAGAATTTCTGAGGTCACTGAGACGATGAATGAGGAGAGCAGAAGGTGAAGATGGAACAGAAATAAGAAAACATAGAGCCTGAAATAAACCTCAGAACCAGGGGACCCTGAACAAGCTGGATTCATGCTGGGGAATAATGTATCCCCAGGCCCAGATCTTTCTAAGTTTCATTGTATTTACAAAATCTGTCCATTCTCTAGTCTCTCATTCTTCTACAGTTGAAAGAAATTGTGCCCAACTGCCACAGGCAGCCTTGAAGTACAAGCGGGAAGTAGGATGAACCCCAACTTCATATGTTGGGGCTCCTCATCAGTCAGTGCTGAGATAAGACTTCCCCCCAGGCTGCGTCTCTATTTGTCCCTGCAGCTACCAAGACTGCACCCTTTGTGCCTCGAGCACATGTGTGCTCATGGTCTGTGGGTGGCCCTCCTGTACATATGGCGAGACAATCAGAGCAGCCAGTTCCACAAAGGAAGGCCCCCAAACTAAGCTCTCCACTGGCACCATCAATCAGCCGAGTCCTAAAAGGAAGCTCTGTTTTCACTTCAGTCCCCCCACAAGTCTATGTATTTGATGGTAAAATTATAAAATCACCAATGCATTTAACCTGTAGCCCATAAGCATGTTAACTCCCTATTTGTGCTTCATCCCACCCCAAACTGGACTTCCTTGATGGTTCAGTGGTAAAGAATCCACCTACAATGCAAGAGACCCAGGTTCAATCCCTAGGTCTTGAAGATCCCCTGGAGAAGCGAATGGCTATCCACTCCAATATTCTTGCCTGGAGAATTCCATGGACAGAGGAGCTTGTCAGGCTACAGTCTATGGGGTCGCAAAGAGTCAGATACAACTGAGCGACTAAAACACACTCACACACCACCCCCAACTAGTTAAAATAGTAAATAAATAAAATCAGACTTGATGCTACTCACCTACAACTTATAAGTATCTAGTTGATACTTATAAGTATACTTATAAGTATCTGAGTTGGTCTGAGATTGACGTTTAAGACTTGCTTTCGCCAGAGCTGGACTCTCCCTGGAGACTTGGACACAGAGGCTTGGTGGGAAGCGACGGGATGCAGAGATGCCATGACAATCTAGAGCTTACCTCAAGTCAGAGACACAACAAATGGGGTCAGCGTGGGGGGAGGAATATCCATCCAGAGGAGAAATCTGAAGGAGGTGGGAGAGAGGTCTGCTACAAGTGCCTTGTCACCGTCGCTTGAAGACTTAGACTCTGTCAAGTTGAATCTGCCAAAAATTGTAAAATAAAGATATGTCTCATTGCTCTGTCATGTGTGAGATGTTCATTAGCATTTCATGCAGGCAGGCAGAAAATTGCTGGGGAAGGAAGAAATCACATCCCGAGCTCATCCCCCAACTAAGCGCTGCAAATTTGGCATTTCTGCACAGGAGGAAACGGTGGCCTGCTGGCAACAGATTCTTCATCAACCCAACCTGCAAAGAAAACACAAAACAAGCAAAAGACACTGCATCTTGATTGCTCTCAGTACCTTGTGAGTACCCATCGGTCTTAAGGACAGTTCCTGGAATCGTTACAGAAACTCTCTGCTCACCTGAAGTACTGTGCTCCCTACCTGAATTCTGTTTAATTCATTAGAATTAATACTAGAAATCTGGGGAAATAGGGGAAGAGGGGAGGAAAAGCATTATTGTATCCAGAGCCCTAGAGCGAGGCTGGGTATCATCGCTCTCCCAGCCTCGTTCTCCCAGGACTTTTCAGTAGAGAAGGTCTCTCTTGAACCATGTTGGACTCCACAGCCCCAAATGATAAACGAGCCTCGATGCCAGATTTGACTTTCATCGCTCAGGTTATGAAGGTCCTTCCTATTCTGCAGGTTCCCAACTGTCCATGGCAACAGGGAACACACACAAAGGAAGGCTTCAAACACTTTGTCTCATCTTTCAACACACCTTTTAGCAGAACTGGTTGACATGGAACAAAGCAGACTGTTTGAAATTGCACCCATTCCTCTTTTAATTGCCCTCCTTTCGGTGGGAGAGTGACAAGCAGAGATGTAGTCTAAAGGCTGATTGTCCAAGGGGTGACCAAGTGAGCTGGATAATCGGCACCTGAAGCGTCAGTTTTGCATCTGAGTCACTTCCCAGGTGGCGCTAGTGATAAAGAACTCACCTGCAGATGCAGGCAGACATAAAAGAGGAAAGTTCGATCCAGAGGTCAGAAAGATCCCCTGGAGGAGGATCCAAGAGGAGGAAGACACCCTGGCAACCCATTCCAGTATTCTTGCCTGGAGAATCCCATGCACAGAGGAACCTGGCGGGCTACAGTCCATGGGATTGCAAAGAATTGTCTACAACTGAGCGACTTAACATTCAGGCACAGGCACTTCCAAGATGAGGACCTTATCTTGCAGGAACCTGGGCTGACCAGTCTGTGGCCTAAATGGTGCTTAGCATTACCAATGGATGCTGAAGAGGAGGACAAAATAAGAAGCTATTACATTCTCTTAAGTGTGTGTCTTTGAATTGACTATCTGTCATCTGCCACGAAACACCCTCAGCATCCATTGCTTCTTGGAAAGGACTGACAGCTCTCAGCTGCTGCCGTCACCAATCCTTCCACACTGACACCCCAGATCAGATCATAGCACCAAACCTTAGCATGCCTTTCTTTTAATTCTATACCAGGATTTATGCCACATCATCCTGTTCTAATGGTTCATCACTTAACAAAGACCAAAAGGAACAACCGGAGAAGATTCTTTAGCCATTTAAAAACCACAGTGTTGCAGAACATGCAATGATATGGGAAAGTGCTCATCATATAGTATGCAATGAAAACACCCAGAGAGAAAATTATGTATGCAATATGATCTAATTGGATTATACATATGTATGTGTTTGTGGTTTCAAAATACTAATCTTGAACATTTCTTGACAAAGTGGTTAAGAGTAATTTTGATTTTTTTCTTTATACTTCCAAAAATGTTCTAAATTGAGCATGTATCATTAATTTTTAAAATCTAGCTGTGCCTGGTCTTAGCTGCAGCACTCAGGATCTTTAGTTGTGGCATGCGGGCTTTTAGTTGTGGCATTCGAGATTTAGTTCCCTGACTAGGGATCAAACCCGGGTCCCCTGCATTGGGAGCATGGAGTCTTAGCCACTGGACCACCAAGGAAGTCCTGAACATGTATTATTTTTATAGGCAGAAAAAAAATAATAATCTTTCCAAACTGCTACACAGATGTAAGATAGTCTTCAGTTTAAACCAGCATGTTATTGTTTATTTACACCACATTCTACGCCACTAATTTCATTTCCTATTCTCTGGATTTCCCAAGGCCCATATGGTTCAACTTTGTTTCTGGCGTCCGGGATGCAAATGAAGCAAGCAGGCTGACTTTTGGGTGACTTCTCAGCTCACCATGTGTCAGGAAGCAGAAGGAGCCAGAAGAACTGGCTCTGAGCCCCATCCTGCCCCCCAAGTCTAATCAGGGACCTTGGAAATCCCTGAGCATCTGGGCCAAACTCTCCCCACGTATGAACTGAGAGGTTGGGCCCTCGCTTGAAATGTCTGCTTTCCATGAGCTGCTAGATCCAACTGCAGCAGAAAGTTCTAATTGCCATGAACATGGGGGTGCTGCAAAGTTCCTTCACAGCGTGCTTCTCACTCAACCGGAAGTGGTGAAAGCCGAGTCATCAGTCTGCAGGAGATCCAACATGCTGTTTTATCTCAGAACAAAGCTCTTAGGAAAAATATTCAATGCAGATGTAAATGCAGTCCAAGTGTCTACAGTACTGAAACACGCAAGGTGGTTTTTGAGAAACATAAATCATGTAGTATAACAAACAAAAATAAGGAGTTAGCTTCATATCCAATATTTAACAAAGCTCTTAGGAAAAATATTCAATGCAGATGTAAATGCAGTCCAAGTGTCTATGGTATTGAAACAAGCAAGGTGGTCTTCAAGAAACCTAAATCGTGTAGTATAACAAACATAAATAAGGAGTTAGCTTCATATCCAATATTTAAGTTTGGGCTTCTCTGGTGGCTCAGAGAGTAAAGAATTTGCCTGCAATGCAGGATCCTGGGTTGAGAAGATCCCTTGGAGAAAGAAAGAAATAGCTATCCAATCCCATATTCTTACTTGGGAAATTCCATGGACAGAGGGGCCTGGTGGGCTACAGTCCATGGGGTCACAAAGAGTAGCATATGACAGCGACTGATATTTTCACTAAGTTTAATCATCTGAATTCACTTGAATCATCAGGTGACTCAGGTACAAACACGTGGAATGATTACAATAACCTGATCTGAACAAGTAGTTGGAGAAAATATAACCCTTCCCTTGAATAGAATTATTGACATTGTAAATTCTGAAAATAATACAAGTAATACATAAAATCACTGCAAAATAAAATTCATACCATGCAAATGTCCACAGAATAAAAAATGGAAATTCTCCTTGAAGTCTCATCCTCTGCTCACCCACTCCTCTATCCACAGATAACCTGTTTTAGGTCCTTTCCATTTTAAACATATGTATCTCTACATGGTTCCTATCACTCACTCCCAAATTTCCACAAGAATGTCTATAAATATCTCAAATCTTTGTCCCATCAAATGTAACCAAAAACAACAAACTTTTTTTTACTAAAATGAGATCACTGTTTTTCAAAGAAATGTTGATTATTTGTAGCCTCTACAATTGATGCTGACCATTATTTTCTCTTTGCTCATTTTGTTATCTTTAAATAATAAGTAAATAAACATGAATAATACAGGAAAAAAATGTCACTGGGACAGCAAGAACAGTATAAAAGCCCCTGCATGCGCAGTTTTTGGTCTCCCAGACACAGGCATATGTCAACCTTTATCAGCTCAGACTCAGAACTGAGCTCAACAGATGCCCCAGGTTAGCTCCCATGTGAAAACACATCCCGCCTGTGGACATTGCCAGGAAACAGCATCACAACTCTTCCTTCTCTGCAAAACCTGGACAGAGCTGCGGGTCCAGCAGAAAGGATCAGATGATTTTGCAGGCACTAAAAGTTCAGAAACGGCACTTAGAGACCAGTCCTTAAGGTCTCATTATTTAAATGCTGACATAGACAATTGACTACCGGCAAAACCAATTCTGTGCAGAGATCACTTAAGTATAGAGCTCGCCTAAGAGGAGAAAAAACAGGCAGCAGTCCCCAACCTCCAGGTCATGAACTGATACCTCCTGTCAGATGACCAATGGCATTAGATTAAAGTGCACAATAAGCATAATGTGTTTGGATCACCCCGAAACCATCCCCCTTCCCCTTGGTCCATGGAAAAGTTGTCTCCCCTGGTGCCAGAAATTTGGGTACCACTGGTTTAAGAAGTTAAATATAATTAACCAGACAGCCCAGGCCCCCAAAACTGTTACACTGGGCTCACAGAGGGGAAATGATGCTTTTTGTTAAAGTAGAGGAAATACACTCTATCTGCTAATAAAAATGATCATTTATTGAGTACTTCCTGTTCTAAGCATCTAATGTAAGTTAAACAATTTAGTTTCACAACAAACCCAGACAAAGGTGCTATTATCCTGTCTGTTTTAAAGATGAGGAAACAGAACTCAGAGTTGGTCAGCTTCATCTTGAGAGGATCTGGGCTCTCCTTCCTAGTGGCAAAATGGCTGCAGCAGTATCAGCCTTTACATCTCAATCATCACACTATTCAGAGGAAAAGAAATTCTCTTCTGGAATCCACATTCTCATTGCCCTGATTATGTTATGTGCTCATTTGTTATGGATAGGGAGACTGAGATGTGCAGATTAGAACAAGCCAATCAGAGCCATGGGGCTATATACTAGGAGGTATAACTAGAATCAGTGTCACCTAAATTTCCAGGGGGGTAATGCATGCTGGAGAGGTGAACACCAAATGTATACTACAGTATTCACTAGCCAGAAAAGAAAAATTTTCCTACAGTATAATTATAATCATAGTTTAGCTTGAAACTCTTAATTCCTATTGGTATTATTTGTCCTAGAACAATATTTTCTCCATGTAGTCACTTTGAAATATATATACATATATATATATATATGTATGTATGTATATTTGTTTTTTTTTAATTCTATCTCCTCTTCCCCAGAATTGATTTTTCCTAAGGACAAGAGGTTTGCAATACATGGTGAGCACTCTTAGGCATATATGTGAGCATTACTTTTAATAGGAAATATGATAGTGGAGAACTAGGACTATCATATACTCTTTGATTAGAGGAAAATCAACACTTCAAATGAGAAGCTTCTTCATACCTAATTATCTTATGTACGTGTTATTTTACCCCTGAGTTATGGATTTAGTGCTTTGCTTCAGTTCAGTTGCTCAGTTGTGACTCTTGCGACCCCATGGACTGCAGCACACCAGGCCTCCCTGTCCATCACCAACTCCCAGAGCCTACTCAAACTCATGTCCATCTAGCCAGTGATGCCATCCAACCACCTCATCCTCTGTCATCCCCTTCTCCTTCTGCCTTCAATCTTTCCCAGCATCAGGGTCTTTTCAAACAAGTCAGCTCTTCATGTCAAGTGGCCAAAGTATTGGAGTTTCAGCTTCAACATCAGTCCTTCCAACAAATATTCAGGACTGATTTCCTTTAGGATGGACGGGTTGGATCTCCTTGCAGTCCAAGGGACTCTCAACAGTCTTCTCCAACACCACAGTTCAAAAGCATTAATTCTTTGGCACTCAGCTTTCTTTATAGTCCAACTCTTAAATCTATACATGACTACTGGAAAAACCATAGCCTTGACTAGATGGACCTTTGTTGACAAAGTAATGTCTCTGCTTTTTAATGTGCTATCTAGGTTGGTCATAACTTCTCTCCCAAGGAATAAGCGTATTTTAATTTCATGGCTGCAGTCACCATCTGCCATGATTTTGGAGCCCCCAAAAATAATCTGCCACTATTTCCACTGTTTCTCCTTCTATTTGCCATGAAATGATGGGACCAGATGCCATGATCTTAGTTTTCTGAATGTTGAGTTTTAAGCAACTTTTTCACTCTCCTCTTTTACTTTCATCAAGAGGCTCTTTAGTTCTTATTCGCTTTCTGCCATTAGGGTGGTGTCATCTAAGTATCTGAGGTTATTGATATTTCTCCTGGCAAGCTTGATTCCAGCTTACACACAAGCAAAGTACACAAGGGAAATCAGAACTGTAGGAGTCCTTATGAAGTGCTCAGAATTATTCCTCTGCTTTTGTTCTAAACAGATAATTAGCTATCCAGTTTAAGAGACGTTCTCAAATGGAGATGCCACAGCATTCTTTGGGAACACACTTTAAAGTTTAATGACCTTCCCTATCAGTGTGATGCTTATATTGAAACTAATGTTGAATTCAAGTTAATCACACAAATATTTGTTAAATGTGACCATCCTGATCATGCCTATGTCCCAATAGAAAACATCCTCTATGTAGCCTTCATAAACTAGAAGACCACAGTTATGTGTAAGTTGATCAACACATATGTATTTGAGCATCTGTGCTAGGAATGGAGGCTTGCAAACAAGTATAAACATTATTCTCAACCTTACTTCTCCTGGATACATAGCTGAAATCCATTTTCCTGGTTCTTCATCGTTTCCATGGCTTTTCTCTGGACCTTCTGCTAGTTTTCCACAGCTATGATAAATGGATGTCTCACAATTGACTCCACAAATAGAAACAGCCAAATGGATTCTAGAAGAAAAAAAAATGTAGCTTATTTTGGGAAGCAGATTCCCAACCACAACACTTGCATTAGATTGTGCTTGCATTGGAAAAGAAAAATCAATATAAAATGGAAAATGTGAACATAATAGATATCACCTAATAATCCAGGGAGAAACACCTCATGTCATGGTTACTAGGGATGACTAATCCAATAAATCCCTTGGCTAACACCAGCTGTCCATAACTGAAACAGACCAGCAACCATTCCCAGGCCAACAACATACATACCCACTGCTAAGAAGGACTAATTCTATCAGAGCCTGAACAGTTCCGAAGTTCATTCAGTTCTGCTTCTAAAGAAGTTTCAGAAACCTTGTAGACCTCTCCATTGTGATTTAAAGCTGAAGAAAAGGCATATTAAGGGGCAATTGAGGTCATCTTGTTTAATGCAAGAACCCCTCTATACCCGTGGTTACCCATCAACCCAGCAATGGGAAACCAAGCATGGCTGTTCCAGTGACAAATATTGGAAAACCATTCCTCACACTAAGTCAAAGTCCTTACGACCCTCCGCTCTGTCATTCCCACCAAAATATGTCTAAGTCTTCTCCCAATGATGAGCCTTTAAACAGAGGAAGTCAGCTATCATATTCCCTTCTTAGTTCTATCTCCTCTGTCTTCTTCATAGAACATCCTGTGAATGAGTGAGTGAGTGAAGCCGCTCAGTCATGTCCAACTCTTTGCAACCCCATGGACTGCAGCCCACCAGGCTCCTCAGTCCATGGGACTTTCCAGGCAAGAGTACTGGAGTGGGTTGCATAAATTCTGTGTCATCTTTCTCCTTCTCACTTTGGTTGAACAAGTTAAGTGACATAAAATCTAGAAATTCTGAAAAACATAGCTGCTTCATTTTCTATCATATTGCTTTTGCTAAAGGTGTTTATGTTCATTTTGCAGTCACTCAGAATTGAACAAATAAGTGAACCAGTACACACCCTAATAAGCATTTATCCTGAGGATGTCCATTTTGTCATGAGTCAGCATTCATACTGCTCTGTGCCTCCTTAAATGATACTCTGCTGATTTTCTCCATCTTTGAGTCTTACCGTATTCTGCCATCCCCATTCAGTCATTCTTGCCGAGTAGATTAAAGTCAGGTAGCAAATACTTCTTTCCTCCATCATCTAATTGATCACGCTGGTGTGACAGTTCAATCCCTCCTTCATCTTGAGAAGTGGCCTTGTGTTAGATGGTAATTCTGTGGAGGAAAAAAACAGAAAGAGGAAAAGCCAATTAACCTTCAGAAAATGATAGTACAACTTGTGCTTCTCCACACCTGATTATTTTCTAAGTAGCAAAATTTTCAATTTATTAAGCTTTAGGTGGGTAAGTGATGCTTTTACAGAGAATGTGAGATACCATTTTTCAGTGGCTCTGTGACAATCACATACACTGGGAGAGATTGAGGTAATGAGCAACTATGAGAACCACAGATCTGAGTTTCAAACACGAGACGCTCTGTCTGCACATCTCTACATTGCTATTTAGAGAGATAACTCTAACATGTAACTCCGAAAAGTGGAATTCAGACTTCCTCTGAAAGACCTGGGTTACAATTGTAGGTCAGACCAAAGTATTCAGTACAGACCAGCTCCTACTGTGCATAGAACCTTTATGTACCCTAACTCAGTTATCATTCAAAACAGCCTGTCAAGACACAGGAAGATTGGCTCCAATTTACAGATGAGGTCACTGAAGCTTGGAGAATTATGACTTGATTAAGCTCACGTTGAGTGCCAGATGGAATTAAAATGGACTTCCCACATGGCACTAGCAGTAAAGAACCTGCCTGCCTAAAGCAGGCAGACATAAGAGATGCAGGTTCAATCTCTGGGTTGGGAAGATCCCCTTGGAGAAGGAAATGGCAAACCCACTTCAGTATTCTTGTCTGGAGAATCCTATGGATGGAGGAGGCTGGCGGGCTACTGTCCATGGGGTCACAAAGAGCTGGACATGACTGAAGCAACTTAGCATGCATGCACGGAGTTAAAATCAGAAATCAATCCATCATTGATTCAGGATACTACACTAAGAATTCACCATAGGAGTCTTCATTGTTTATTGTAGCACATCTTCTCTGAGATCTAATATAATAAAATTAACTTCTGCTTTGACTTGCCCTAGATTTTGACAAGTGACACAAGCAAAAGTAAGAGGGGAAGAAGGATCCTAAGAAGGCTGCAAACATGTATCCTGAAGGATACATCCCCGGAGCACTGCCCGGAAGCCAGCCCTAATCTCAGCTTCAGTGACAGAAGCCACCATATACTCTGATCATGGCGTCTTATTATCTGTTAGGGGCCATGTCTCCTTCTGTTCCTTGCTACAGAACCCTGACTCTAGATACCTATTTCCAATAAGTGTATCAGTTCAGTTCAGTCGCTCAGTCATGTCCGACTCTTTGCGACCCCATGAATTGCAGCACTCCAGGCCTCCCTGTCCATCACCAACTCCCGGAGTTTACTCAAACTCATGTGCATCAAGTCAGTGATGCCATCCAGCCATCTCATCCTCTGTCGTCCCCTTCTCCTCCTGCTGCCAATCCCTCCCAGCATCAGGGTCTTTTCCAATGAGTCCACTCTTCGCATGAGGTGGCCAAAGTACTGGACTTTCAGCTTCAACATCAGTCCTACAGGACCTTACAAAATACTGGGTCTTAAGACAGGCGTACCCAACTTTTCACTCTCTCTGGATTAAGGTGTGTGCGTGTGCTAAGTCGTCTCCGTTGTGTCCAACTCTTTGCAAACCTGTGGACTGTAGCCCTCCAGGCTCCTCTGTCCAAGGAATTCTCCAGGCAAGAATACTGTAGCAGGTTGCCATGCCCTCCTCCAGGGGATCTTTCCAACCCAGAAATCGAACCCATGTCTCTTATGTCTCCTGGATCAAGACAGGTAAACCTATTTTTTAGTGTTCCTGTGTGGGAAGGACATTTTTTTCCCCTCATTTTCTGAGATCACTGGTAAGTCTCTCACTGAAATGATTTTAGGGGGAAAAAAGAAAAAAAATCCTGGGGGGGGGTGCAATTTTCCAGATATTTCTAAACTTTCACACCACTAACTCTGGGATTAATCACATGAATATCATGAATCTTTTTTCGGTAACTAAGTACAGAACAATTTTCTAATCTCTGCTTTGCCATTTTCTTTATAATTGTGGGCTAGTGACATATGTTCCTTCATCTGTAAAATGGTGATAATATTAGCCTACTCCAGGGAGACTTTGTGAGAATAATAGAAGAAAAGACTTTAAGTTTAGGTACAGCGGCCACCCCCATGGATCAAGGTTTCAGGGGATTTGGGAGGAATGGGAGGGAGCACAGTGGGAGTGGGATGGTATAAGGAGCTCAGAGAAAGAAGTTCAGCCCACCCCTCCCAAAGCATAGCATCCCACCTTCTCCTTCTCTAGTTCAAGCTCTCTCTTATGATCGTCTTCCTGCAGTCCCAGGGAGCTACTGATCTCAAGTTAAGAACACTAGCTTAAGATTTTGCTTGAGGTTCTCACATTTCTAGATATGCATTGCTGCTTTTAAGACTACACAAAATATGTGAATGCCATGGCTGAAGATTCCTTCATTAAGGAAAGTATAGTGATGTGGGATCTGTTGACTTTTCACCTTGGAGACCACCAAATACATTACCATCCACTTCCTGTTTTAGGCTTAGCTCATATAGCCACCTATCAGTAAAGCAAAAGCTGGTCTCCAGGGTAGACCATCTTGCCATTCTTTTTTTTTTTTTTAATGGTTTTTTTTTTCCCAAATAAATGGTTTTGTTCGTTTATTTATTTATTGGCTGTGTCNCCCCTCCCCGCCCCCGCCTTTCTTACATACAGTCAGCCTTAGAGGAAATAAAGAGAGCCAAGGAAAACAATAAAGACTAACCTCAACTGAACACCATCATGGCAGAATTGTGAAAAAATAAAACCACAACTTTACTGGATTTTAAAGGAAATTACATAGAGAAAAGCACATTTATTTTTGTATACCCAAATAAATAACATATAACTCTATTAGAAACTTTTACTAGTAGTGAATGCCCACCGTCTTCTACTGAAAACATTTCATTTGCAGACAATATGTATCAATGACTATAGGTCTTAAAACACTGACAAAAACTCAAGATTCAAAATAAAACAACTTCGATTAGGTTTGTTTTAATCACAGATGCCAATGTTTTAAAAATGCTGGAATATCCTTTCATAGCAACCACTGTTGCAAAAAACAGACCTCTTAATTGTGTTTGTCTAAGAATTTAATGTGATAATCCTACTTTTTTAATTAAATAAAAATTCAGTATCTATATTGAATTTGATAACAATGTTTACCCACAAATATAGCTAAATAACAACTGTCTCCTTTTTCTAGAAACAAGACAGAAGATATACTTGTCAAGTGTAAAATCGGATAATTTTTAGTTTAGCTTCATAAGTCTTAAAAATAACCTGGGACTTCGCTGTAGGTCCAGTGCTTAGGACTCAGCACAGAGGGTGCAGGTTTGATCCTTGCTCAGGGAGCCACAGGCCTCACAGCCAAAAACCCGAAACATAAAACAAAAGCAATATTGTAACAAAGTTAATAGACTAAAAATGATCCACATCAAAAAAAAAACTATATAGCTATGGCTGATTCATATTGATGTTTGGCAGAAACCAACACAATACTGTAAAACAATTATTCTTCAATTAAAAATAAATAAATTTTTAAAAATATTTTTAAAAAATGACCTAGACTAGATGATTATATATTCATTTACCTCTTCCTTTCCAACCACCTACTTTGTCTCATAAGCCAGATCTCTGCACACTTTCAATCCTTTTCATGAATATGTTAAAAGGGCTGGTGTTTCAGTAATCTCAACCCCTCTCTATGTGTTTCCATTCACCTTTGCAACAATTCCCTCATGGTTCAGCTTGTAAGGAATCCATCTGTAATGCGGGAAACCTGGGTTTGACCCCTGGGTTGGGAAGATCCCCTGGAGAGGAGAAAGGCTGCTCATTCCAGTATTCTGGCCTGGAGAATTCCGTGGACTATATATTCCATGGGGTCACAAAGAGTCAGATGTGACTTTCACTTTCACTTATTTTCAACCATTAGTCAATTAATGATCTGTTCATCTCCAAGTTAGTGTTGAAATACCCCATAAATCAGCAGTTTTACTTTTGAGTCAATATATTTCCCTCATTCCTTCTCTGCTATACTCTAAATAAGAAGTCATTCAGATTAGGGAATGTTATTTCCAAAAGACAATCATCAAAGGAGTGTTTCATAGCCTTCAAAAATCTACATCAAGTTTGTAAAATTTTGTGAAGTATTGATTAAGCACTATCATTGCAAAGTACAAAGTGCAAAAAAAATCTATGCACAGCATATGCATATGTGTAAAACAATCAGATATAAATACATACATAGAAGTTATTTTGGTAGATAGTTGTGTGCATCTGTGTTTAATATTTTTAGCAGCTCAGCATCCACTTATTCTTTCTATAAAACACAAATTTTCTTTTGAAGAATGACTTCTTTTCAGTAGTATTGTTTTGGTGGTGGTTTAGTGGCTAAGTCATGTCCAACTCTGAGACCCTGTGGACTGTAGCCTGCCAGACTCCTCTGTCCATGGGGTTCTCCAGGCAAGAATACTGGAGTGGATTGCCATTTCCCTCTCCAGGGGATCTTACCAACCCAGGGATCAAACCCAGGTCTCTTGTATTGCAGACAGATTCTTTACTCACAGAGGGAGCAGTGAATCCCGGGCCTGCCTCTCACTAGGAATGTCAAACAAATCAGCATTCCTCACACTTTCTTTCAAGAGTCAGAAGCCCAGTGGATCAGATACTGTCTTCCAGGATTTGCATGTTATATTATAGACTCTGGGATGGCGGAAACTTGAAATCATTCTTTCCAGCTATGGTTCCCTGACATGATTGTGCCTTATCTGGAAACATTCTCAGCCCTTCAGAGCAGCCTTAAGTAGTGACTATTACCAATCCCTGTTCTCAGCTTTCCAACTGATTTGCTGAGCTCCTGGTCAATTTCTAGGAGATTCCCTTCTAAAATTGCCCAAAGACAGTTTCTGTCGACTACAATCCAAGAATTCTGACCATTACAGTTACTGATGAAACAAACTCTACATAGGAACACAGTTAAACATATTATTTAATTTGGGGCAATGAGTATATATGGACAGGTGCATCTTGTTGATCAATGAGTAAAGAGGATCCAGGGAAGTTGAATTTCCAGGCAGGAAGGCTGCCATGAGCTCTCTCCAGGGTAAGTGACAAGTGCTAAGAAAACATCTTTTCCAGGCATGACACACACAAACATGTATCTAGTGATATAGTCTAAAATTTCATTAACAGGGTTTTTCAGTGAGTATTGCAACCCACTTCAACATTCTTGCCTGGAGAATTCCATGAACAGAGGAGCCATAACCCGTGGGGTTGCAAAAGAGCCAGACACGACTGAGTGACTAACACTTATTCCAATAGTAACGAAGTGAGTTACCTCCCTGTGTTGAAAAATTTTGTATTTTATGCAGCTAGTTTAAAAAACATTTCATCTAACTATTCAATGTATATGTAGCATATTATACTCAATGGCTCAGGAAATTTCATTTTTCACCCTTGCAATCTTTTTTAATAGTGACTTCCTATCCTGATTGCCCTATATCACTCAGCAAAGAGGGGATTTCTTCGCTTTGTTGATGCAGAGCATTAACTTAATGTTGCAGAATTTAAGGTCTTCTCTTTTATAAACTTACAATATCCCTTCTCTCCCTGTGCTGTAAGTCTGATTTAATCATCTTCCAAAAATCAGTTTAGGTACTATTTTTGTCTTTGCTTGCCCTTAATCCTTATTTGATTAAAGTTACCACATTCTTAATTGGACTCCTCCACTAAGAGGAGTCCTCTATTCTAAAATATCAAAGGCAACAGTGGGACTGTTGGGTTAGTTTTAACAGGCACCTTGGATTCAACAGACTTTTCTGGGATAATCAGGAAATCGGTGTGATCTACAAAATGCCAGTTCCTGTGCTCCATGCTGCCCTGAACTACCCAGCCCTCTCATCTCTGAGCACTGGTCCCCTCCTCTCTCACAGTTCTAGCCAGCAAACGAAGGGGGATATTTATAGGAATGAGGAGGGTGTATGAAACCGATTATCCTCATTCTAGAAGGCTGGAATCTTTTTCAGTCTTGTAGGTCTTTGAAAGACTTCAAATACTATTTGATTGAAGCCCTGCAGTATTAACAGGAAAGGGCCTCGCTAAAAATTTTAGCAATTGAAAAGGCAAGAGAAAACCATAGATCCCTGTCAGCACATATTTTTAAAGAAAGTACATGTATCACTGTGATGCTTTTACCAATGAGTGACCTTTAAGATGGTAGGAGAAATGGAGAAGGAAGGAGGGAAGAGAGAGACAGTTGTCTCAGCTCCAAGAGGGAGCAATATTATAGCAAAATCACTTTCCCACCAACAGACATTTCCAGGGTTTCCATGAACACCGGGCACACCTGTAGCGGGGGGAAGACGTTTCAACTCTACCCAGAGTGTTAGTTTCCTGCAGGACTGCCATAACAAAGCATAACAATGAGTAGCTTCAAACAGAATATTTTTCTTTCATAGCTCTGGAATCTAGAAGTCTGATATCACAGTTGGTTCTTTCTGGAGGTTCCAAGGGGAACCACTCTCCTGCCTCTCTCCTGTTTCTCATGCTGACTGGTGTTTCTCGGCGTTTTTTGGTTTGTAGCTCTACCACTTCAATCTGGTCCTCCATCGTCACAAGACACTCTCCTCATGTGTCTCTGTGTCCCTGTGTACAAAGCTGCCTCCTCTTATAAGGACGCTCGTCATTGAATTAGGGCCCCACCAGAACCCAGGATGACCTCATCTTTATTTTATTTCACTGGCAAAGGCTCTGTTCCCAAATAAGGTCACATTCATGGGTACTGGCGGTTAAGACATCAACATATCTTTTTGGGAGATGCAATCAACCCACAATACCCTCTATAATACTGACACAAAGTAGCCTTGTACTACTGCTTAGCTATTCTGTGCTCCTCTTTGTATATTCAATTTTTTTTTTTTTTTTAATTTGGCTACGCAGGGTCTTAGCTGTGGCATGCGGGATTTAGTTCCCTGACCAGGGATCAAACCCATGTGCCCCTGCCTTGGCAGCACAGAGTCTTAACCACTGGCCAACCAAGGAAGTGCCTATTCCACCCTTTATTGAACTGGTTCTCAGTCACTGTGGGCCTTGCTTGGATATGCCTTCATATTTTAATTTAAATCTTATAGAGCAGAAGACAATTTGCTGTGAAAAAGAAGGAGGAATATTATCTGGATAAAGACTGTCGGTTCACTAGAACAGGGGTCCCCAACCTTCAGTATCTAATGCCTGATGATCTGAGGTGGAGGTGATGTAATAATAATAGAAATAAAGCACACAGTAACTGCGCTGTGCTTGAATCATCCCAAAACCATCTCCCTCCGCCCAGTCCATGGAAAAATTGTCTTCCCTGGTGCCAAAAATGTTGGAGACCGCTGCACTAGAACACACAAGAATTTTTGCCTTGTGTGAGTATGAGAGAAGGAGTTCTGGGCAAGCAGTAAGTCCACCAAAACAGACCCCACCGGAGCAAATCAGTGAGCAGTGTGATACAGGGGCAGACGTTCCTGGACCCCCTGAAGTGTCCCTGGGTAGTAATAGCAACTGCACTGTAATCGATGCTTGCTCGTTGTGCTGTTGGGAGACCCTCAACCTCCTGCAGTGTGCTGTCAATCTAGAACGCAAAAGTGTTAAGAACCTTTGTTCTCAGGGTTGAGTGTAGATCAAAGACTCCAACTCTAGCACCTCTGCCACTGAATAATCATAATTTACCAGGTGTTTAACGCAGTACACTGTCTAAAGATGAGACTTTCAGACCCATAAAGAAAATGATTTGGGGTGGCTGAGAACTTTTCCAGATTTACTCAGTGATTTGTTTCATGTATTCAGGGAAAAAATGGGCTTCCCAGGGGTCACTAGGGGTAAGGAACCCACCTGCCAGTGCAGCAGATATAAGAGACGAGGGCTCGATCCCTGGGTCAGGAAGATCCCCTGGAGGAGGAAATGGTGCCCACTCCACTTTTCTGGCCTGGAGAATCCCATAGACAGAGGAGCCTGAGAGACTATAGTCCATGGGGTTGCAAAGAGTCAGACACCATTGAAGTGACTTAGCATGCGCTCACACATACGTAAAGGAGCCCCACCCAGGGCTCAGATAAAATCACCCAGTGTCACTGGAAAAAGAAAAACTGATCTCAAGAATATGGATCTTCAGAATCCATCTATAGCTACTGGAGGGTACCTAGAAGGCTTTGCCCAGGCTCTAACTCCCAGCAAGTTGCTGAGGAGCCAGAAATCCTGTCACTGGGGATTTGCTCTGAAAAATGTGTGAAGAGCTGCCAGACACAATACAAAACCCACCCCCATGTATCAGCTATCATCAGATATTTTTCCAGCCAAGAAAGAGAGAAAGGGACCTATCTGGGACACATAATGAAAAGAAAGGCAAAAAAGACCCAAATAAAGTCACCCGTTCGTAGCTGTGCCAGGGGGCTGGTCTTATAATTCTTCTCCCCACGGAGCTTCTGCTCAGCCTGTCCCTAGATGACATTTTCCATAACTTGAATGACAGAGGGGGATCCATGAGGTAGGAGATCTCTCAGAGAAAGTTCATGCTCAGTGAAGAGAAATGAGGGAGAGACTAGAGATCTGGGGAAAAGGAAAAATAAAATGCTCTGGTTTTGCGATGAAGATCAGCTTCCTCATCCTTCTGCCACCCTAACCTGCTGGCTGCCGAGTCCTGTGGGTCTGATCCTGAAAGGCCACATGAACATTAGTAAACGTTGCAAAATGAGAGTCCAGGTCCCACCGTTCTGTCTTCAACATGAGGTCCGGGTGGTCTTCCACATCTCCGCATGGTCCACAGCAAAGCTACTCAGGAAGACACTCCCACACTCCACTGAGAAGCTGTTTTAAGTGCAGAGACATCAGCTAAATGCCAGCAAGAGCCTCATGAGTTTAGAGATGAGAGGACTCTGGAAATGTGAAGGGTGCCAAATCTCACCTGTCCTCACCTTTCCTTCCCTCTCCTTTGGAAATCTCCTCCCTACTTTTCTCTACAAAATCCTCCAGCCAGAACTTCCAGGCCACTATGCTGAGGCTATAACCAAGGTAGCATGCTATCTTTCACAGGACAGCCTTGTGCTGCCAAGTTAGTGATGCTTTTTGGTACTGAGGTGCAATGAGATCATCTTGTGGCAAAGAGCAATAGTCATTTCCCTCTTCTTACCTGGGCACACATCAGGAACTCCCCTCCCAACACCCTCATAGTTACAACCACAAGACTGAATTCTAATTAGTGGATTGTGAGGGCTGAGCGGCAGTGGGAAGTCTGGCCCATGAAACTCCAAGCCCAGTAATCTGCACTCTTTCCCCATCCATTAGTCTGATATAACAAACACATGGGAAGCCATGTGGTGTGGATGGCAGAGCCACAAGATAGAAGGAGCCTGGGTCCTCGAATCACCACTAGGAGCCTTCAATCAAACCCTTTAGGGTGTCACACAGTAAGAAGTAAACTTCTATTGTCTTTGAGCGATTCTACATTTCTTTACTCAAATTTGTTTGCTACAGCGGTGAATCTATCTTAGTCAATCTTCTTTCTGAGGTGCCCACCATAGAGGCCATGTGCTTTCTTATACCGTCTATCACTAGAGCTTCTGAAACAATACAGATGGTATAAGAGAACCTGTATCTTATTGATGATAAAACTACTCAACAATAGGATTTTATATTATTGTACAGAGGAAATAGGCCAGCTTTAGAGTCACACTGAGTTTGATCCTTTTTCCAAAGTATTCTGCCCGAACACTTCAGTCAGCTCACTTTATTTCTATGACCCTAAACACTTCTCTGTAACTGGGATCACGAGTCCTAATTAAATCTTAGGATAAAAATGAGGGAGAGACTAGAGATCTGGGGAAAAGGAAAAATAAAATGCTCTGGTTTTGCGATGAAGATCAGCTTCCTCATCCTTCTGCCACCCTAACCTGCTGGCTGCCGAGTCCTGTGGGTCTGATCCTGAAAGGCCACATGAACATTAGTAAACGTTGCAAAATGAGAGTCCAGGTCCCACCGTTCTGTCTTCAACATGAGGTCCGGGTGGTCTTCCACATCTCCGCATGGTCCACAGCAAAGCTACTCAGGAAGACACTCCCACACTCCACTGAGAAGCTGTTTTAAGTGCAGAGGCATCAGCTAAATGCCAGCAAGAGCCTCATGAGTTTAGAGATGAGAGGACTCTGGAAATGTGAAGGGTGCCAAATCTCACCTGTCCTCACCTTTCCTTCCCTCTCCTTTGGAAATCTCCTCCCTACTTTTCTCTACAAAATCCTCCAGCCAGAACTTCCAGGCCACTATGCTGAGGCTATAACCAAGGTAGCATGCTGTCTTTCACAGTACAGCCTTGTGCTGCCGAGTTAGTGATGCTTTTTGGTACTGAGGTGCAATGAGATCATCTTGTGGCAAAGAGCAATAGTCATTTCCCTCTTCTTACCTGGGCACACATCTGGAACTCCCCTCCCAACACCCTCATAGTTACAACCACAAGACTGAATTCTAATTAGTGGATTGTGAGGGCTGAGCGGCAGTGGGAAGTCTGGCCCATGAAACTCCAAGCCCAGTAATCTGCACTCTTTCCCCATCCATTAGTCTGATGTAACAAACACATGGGAAGCCATGTGGTGTGGATGGCAGAGCCACAAGATAGAAGGAGCCTGGGTCCTCGAATCACCACTAGGAGCCTTCAATCAAACCCTTTAGGGTGTCACACAGTAAGAAGTAAACTTCTATTGTCTTTGAGCGATTCTACATTTCTTTACTCAAATTTGTTTGCTACAGCGGTGAATCTATCTTAGTCAATCTTCTTTCTGAGGTGCCCACCATAGAGGCCATGTGCTTTCTTATACCGTCTATCACTAGAGCTTCTGAAACAATACAGATGGTATAAGAGAACCTGTATCTTATTGATGATAAAACTACTCAACAATAGGATTTTATATTATTGTACAGAGGAAATAGGCCAGCTTTAGAGTCACACTGAGTTTGATCCTTTTTCCAAAGTATTCTGCCCGAACACTTCAGTCAGCTCACTTTATTTCTATGACCCTAAACACTTCTCTGTAACTGGGATCACGAGTCCTAATTAAATCTTAGGATAAAGTCACAAAGCCTGACGTTTAAGGAGAAGAATCAAAGCGTTTAGCACAGCACCTGGTACACAGTAGATCATCAGTGACTAGAAGCTATCACTATTATTTATATTTGTTAGCATTTACTTGATTGTACCCTCTAAGTCTTCATGCTTCTATCTTCAACATCAAGCAAGAGTTCCTAGAAGTTATGGATTATGTCTAATTTATCTTTATAACCCCACATGCAGGACAGTGATGATTACTTCAGTGAAAAGAAGCCCCCCTTTAGTTAATATTTATTCACTCACTGTGACCTCCAAAGCAAGAATC